TCGTCTTTATTAACAATGTCTCTGGTCTGGAAGAACAGATTGTTATTTCATAAGCAATATTAACATTGCCATTCTGTACAAGAAAAACTTTTGCATAAATGAGAAAATAAATACGTAACTTAACTCTTTAAAAACCACTACTTTCATTCTTGTGGACAAGTCTCACGTGGAAGGATTTAAGAACCAACCAGTCCTGCAGGCTTTCGTACAGCATGTGCTTCTGTTTAAAACATTTTTTAAAAAAACAAAAACTACACAGAAAGTAAGAGGTTGTCGGAAATGATTTTCAAAAAGATTTTTGGGTGGCAGCTATTATGCTCTGCAGTCGCTCAGCATATGTACAGCACTTGTGATTTTTCTCCCAATAATATTCTTTTAGTGTAAGAAATGCCATCACATGTAAGAGGAGGAGGAAGCCGTTTTCTAGGCAGAAATGTGTCTGTGAGCGGTGGGCAGAAGGTGGCATCTCAGAAGGGATGTTCTTGTCTGGGAGTGTGTGGTGGCTGCTCTCTCGGGCCTGCTAGACCAGTGTCTCCTGGGACCTTGAAATTCTCTTCAGAAGGTGACTTTAAAATATGGCTGTGGGTCGGGGCAGGGATGCTGCTCTTTGAGAAGTTGGGGGAGGGGATGTGATTTCTATCCCTCCCACCACCTTCAGGACCCTCTCCTTCTCTACCCCAGTGGATGATGTTACTCCTTTGAGATGGAGGGGTGGAGGTAGCCAAACATCTGGGGAGGCCAGGCTGGGAAGCAACATAGCTTCTTCCAGGGGTTTGTCAGCCATAAATATGTCAGCCAGAAATAGACTCTTTACTTTTTTTTTTTTCTGTTTGTTTTTCATCTTTGGCTGTCAGATGAGAGCATCACAACTCTGAATTCTGAATCCTGGAAGTGACATTGGCATTGAGTCAATGCAACCTCATTCATTTATTCTCTCTCTCTCTCATCTCTGCCCATTCAAAAGGCACTTGTGTGCTTGGACTCATATGCTAGTAGACCCCTCGAGATCCTAAACCCACCTGGACCCTCATTTTACAAAGTGGAAATTGAGGTCCCAAAAGAGAATTGTGGAGTTCAAGGTTACACAGCAAGTTAGTGGCAGAGCCAGGACTAGAAACCACATCTAAAGATGCCCTTAGTCTTGTGCTCTGGGCACGCCACAGGCTTTTTTTTTTTTTTTTTTTTTTTTAGGGCAGAGTGTATTTATAGGCAGGGCTGGCTAAACAGGCTGGCTACGAGTCTGGAACACGGTCAGGAGGATCTGGCTTCCCATTGGCTGACACAACAGAATCCTTGCGTTGCTGTCTGATGTACTGGTCCAACAGGGTGGTCAGCTGGAGGGGCTGGTGCTGGAGCAGGGAGTGGTTCTGGGCCGTGATGCAGGTGAGGCCTCCTACAAGCTCCCCCTGCACCAGGGGCAAGCTGGGGAGCTTGGAGTAGTTGACAAAGCCCTCCCTGCTGAGGATGATGTCATCAATGCAGCCACCTAGCAGCGGCAGGAATGGCACAGTCCTTAAGATCCGTAACATCTCCTTGACCTTGGGCTCTTCACTGACCAGCAGCATGTTGTGCCCCACAAAAAGGGGCAGCAGGTTTTGGTACTTGGAATCCTCCAGGAAAGGCCTCAGGACCTGGTTGGGGTACACCTTCACTAGGATCTTGTGTTTCCGCAGCCGGTGTCGCATAAGAAGCTTGTCCTCTGCACTCAGAGCCACATTCTGGCAGACAGCTATCAAGAAAAAAAAAAAAAAAAAAAAAAAAAAAAAAAAAAAAGCTATTCTATGACGCTGGAGTGAAGAGGAAAGGAACTGATGTTCCCAAGTGGACCAGCATCATGACCGAGCAGAGCGTGTGCCACCTGCAGGAAGTATTTGATAGGTACAAGAGCTACAGCCCTTATGACATGTTGGAGAGCATCAGGAAAGAGGTTAAAGGAGACCTGGAAAATGCCTTCCTGAACCTGGTCCAGTGCATTCAGAACAAGCCCCTGTATTTTGCTGATCGGCTGTACGACTCCTTGAAGGGCAAGGGGACTCCAGCTAAGGTCCTGATCAGAATCATGGTCTCCCGCAGTGAAGTGGACGTGTTGAAAATTAGGTCTGAATTCAAGAGAAAGTACGGCAAGTCCCTGTACTATTACATCCAGCAAGACACTAAGGGTGACTACCAGAAAGCGCTGCTGTACCTGTGTGGTGGAGATGACTGAAGCCCGGCGCGGTGTGAGCATCCAGGAATGGTGCTCCCTACGCTTCCAGCTAACAGGTCTAGAAAACCAGCTTGCGACTAACAGTCCCTATCGCCGGCCCTGTGAGGATGACCTTAACACTACCCCTACCCTCATTCTAGTTGCCTAAGCATTGCCTGGCTTTCCTGTCTAGTCTCTCCTGTAAGCCAAAGAAATGAACATGCCAAGGAGTTGGAAGTGAAATCTGTGATGTGAAACACTTTGCCTCCTGCGTACTGTGTCGTAAACAGTTGAATAAACTGAATTTGTACTTTAGAAACAAACAAACAAAAAAAACCAACAACAACAAAAAATGATCTCACTTGATCATTTGATCATCATCTCACATGATCTCACTTGTATGTGAAATTTAAGAGCCAAATTCACAGAAGCAGAGGGTAAGATGGTTGCCAGGGGCTGAGGGAAGGGGAAATAGACTGATATTGGTCAAATGGTACAAAGTTTCAGTTATACAAGGTAAATGATTTCTGGAGATCCAACGTACAGCATGGTGATGACAGTTCAGTATTATATTACATACGTGTAATTTGTTAAAAAGATATATCTTAAATCTTTCCATAACAGATATACATACACAACACAAACAAAATGGTAATTATGTAGAGGTAATGAAGATATTAATTAGCTTGATCGTAGCGATCATTTCACAATGTATATCAAATATCAAGTTGTACATCTTAAATATATACATTCAGAGGCTTCAATGAGAAAACAAGACTTTAAATTATATTTAGTTATTGCTAAAGGATACCTCCCTTTTTTTTTTTTTTTTTTTTTGAGGTCACAACGCCTATTTATTCCCCATACGTCACGCCCTGCACCCGATGGGCTCGGCACACGCCTCACCGCCGTGAGGGGCTGCAGAGCCACGGGGGCCCCGTTCCTACTGTTACCTATGACACACGGTACTGCGCCTACCCCGCAGACGGCCAAGACCCAGGGATCCCCCGGATGCTCCGACTGCCAACCCTGCTGCTGGGACCGCAGAGCGGCTCACCTGCCACCCCCAGGCCCCAGGAGCCAAGGCAGGTCCCTCACTGTCTGGCTCTCGGCTGCTCTCCTGGTGGCTGTTTTAGGGCCAAGGTGGGTGGCACCAGAGATGCCCCGTGGCCTCGACCTGGAACTGGAGGGATGAGCTTCCAGGCAGGCCCTGGGCCTGTGAAACACCCAGGACGGAAGGACAGCAAGATGGGACACAGACAGAAATGGCCCAGCTGCCTTCCCTGTGCCCGCGGCTAAGGCAGCCGGGACAGAAGGTCATGATGACACTCGTGGCTCTTAGTCTCGAGGACTAGAAAATGACGGTGGGCGGAGGGGAACGCGTGTCTGCCCACACGCGCACCTGGAGAAAGTCGCAGAAACTGGTCCTCTGCACCCACGACGGCTCCAGGCCGCGGAGGCGGGGGGGTGACTGCACCTGTCTCCTAGATGTCTGCCGGTAGAGTTCCTCATGCAAAGACACGCAGCGCGGTGTCGGGGCTGCAGCTGGCAGTGAGCTCTTCCGAGCAGGCACGGGGCCCGCGAGGCCGGGAAGGCGACTCGGAAAGCAGCTTCTCAGGACGGGAGAGTTCCTGCACACACACCACGGGAGGCGGCGGGGGCTGGAAAAAGGCTCCGGAAGCCACAGGATCCGCCACGCGGCTGAACGTGGAAGCTGCCGCTTCGCTGAGAGGGGCCGGGAGCACCCCAGGATTCTAGAAAATACTCAAGTGATGGGCTGTCTGGGGCCTGGGAGGGAGGTCGCTGCTGGGCTGCGCTCAGCTTGCTGGCTGTTGTTTCAAGAAAGGTCTGGGGGCTATAGGGGAGTTACAAAAAGGGAGTGGAGGAGGCAGAGACAAAGGGAAAATCTATCTTGATATGCAGGTCCGAGGTCTCTCTCTTCCCCTCCCAGGCAGTCCAGCAGGAGGAAACAGCAAACAACCAGAAGGCTTCCAGTCGGCCAGGGAAGGACGCGGTCACGCCGGGAATGGGCGGCGTCACTCCGGCTGGTCGTGGTTGCTGGCGCTGGGCGTCCGACTCCGGATCTGGCTCCTGAGCTGCTCTATCAACTCTGGGCTCTGCTGCTGCATCTGCTGGGCAAACTGCTGACCGGCCTGGATGAGGCTGGCCAGGTCGTTCTGCGAGGGGCTGGTGCCAGGAGCTCCCAGGGGGTTGTGGCCGCCAGAAATCATGCCGGACATGAGCTGCTGAATCTGGGGATTGTTCATTAGGCTTGAAGCCAGTTGAGTTTTTTTCTTGAAAATAATAATAATAATAATATATATATATATAAATTATTTTTATTTCTTTCTTTATTTATAAGGCCTATGAATGTTCAGCTGTTCCAGCATCAATTGTCAAAAAGGCTATCATACTTCCAATGAATTGCTATGGCACATTTATTCAAAAATTAGTTGCATCTGTTTGTTTGATTTTGTTTTGGGGGTTATCTATCCTGTTTCATTTATCTATATGTCTCTCTCTCCTTTAACACCACACTAACTTAATTATTTTGGAGAGATATTACGACTTCTTATTGATTGGAGTGATTCTTTCCACTCCATATTTCTTTTACAAGATTACATTAAGTATTGTATTGTTCATACCTTCCCATATAAATTTTAGAATAATATTTTCTGTATCTACAAAAGAACACTTATTGACATTTTCATATAGATTTTTTAAAAAAATATATATACCAATTTAAGGAATATTAATGTCATGGGATATGGGGGCTCTCTGCAACTTTGTAGAAAGTCAAAAGACCCCAGGTTTGATTTAGCTTCTTCCATTGCTTGGAAGGCTTAGAGGCAATTATCCTAGATGACTTCTGCCATTGGGTAGAGGTTTGGAAAATGCCCAGAGTGATCTTATTTAGTGTCTATGTTGAGAACCGTGAGTCACTGTATCTGAGTGGCTCTCGCTGTGTGGGAGCTTCAGAGATGCAAACTCTATGTTGCTTTCATCCGCTGAGTGGAGGGCCAGGAAACACCAGACCTGCCATGTTGATGTTTCTTTTTTATCAAAAACACCTTTCTGTACTCATATTGCTTTCTGTAATTAAACATAGCATTTAAGGTATCTTATTCTAGGTAGAATCCAAGCCTGAATGAAGAATATATTTATTTAGATGAAGTTATGAGTATTTACCGTGGTAACATTTTTGGTTATATTTGTCATTTTTTTAATGCTATCTTTCATCTTTACTTAGAGGACATTTCTTTGAATTGTGAGCTCAGTTTTACCATGCTAGTTGCATTATTTAGTTCATTCATTTCACTTATTTGTGCCTTTCATGCAGATATCCATGGAAATTAGTAAAGAAAGGCAACATAAAAATATGCCTTTGATATACCCAAAGTCTTCTGAAGGACAGTGCAATTTTTAACTTTAAAGAATATGAAAACAGGATAAATAAGCATAGAGAAAATCTAATATAACTTTAATCAACTGAATTCAGTAAAAAATACTGTTTGTAATGCATGTTGAATTGACATAAAATGTGATTGCTTCTGACTAGTTTAAAGCAAGTAGCTATGGATAAGCTATGTATTTTATGATTTAAAATAAGTAGACCCTGTCTCTATTTTTCAAATAAAGGTACACTTTTTTCTTTAAATGTAAGCATATAATTTTAATGCATTTTAAAGTAATTTTTATTATGCTATACAATTACTTGATAAGTAATAAATATCATTAACAATTAATTCTCAACATGTTTGGGTAATCCATCTTGTATTTTCTAATATCTTCTGTTTTTCATTTTTAACAATGCCACACATTACGTGTACAATATTCATATCAACTATAGTACATATCTAAAGAAATGCTTTACCCATTGTCTAATCTAAATCCTCTATGTGACCAGTGTTCTCTGACCTTTTTACCTCCACTACTATATATTAGGAAATCAGTGGAGTCACCAATTACAGAAACCACAGAAATCCTCATTTTTCCCACTCTAAGGTTTCAAAGTCTTACTCCATCTAGGACCATTCTTCACTACTGAAGTCAAAAACTTTCCTCAAGTACTGGTAAACGATCTGGTTCAATTGTTCTAGACATTTTACATAGACACAACTTTTTCTGATGAAGATGGAAAAAAGACATATTCAGGCCTACACATCTTCATTATAAGCGTAAATTGCAAAGATTGATCATTACACCAGGAATAATGGCCTGATTGATGTTGAATTATAATCACTTAAAATAAATTTTCAGTCCTCTCACATGCTCATTTCCCTAACATATTATAACCATTTTAATTTGAATATATTCTCCACCCTGTCAGTCAATGCTTATGTTACTTGTATCTTCTAAATTATTAAAATTTTCTGCAACTTTTTCTAGAACGAATTAGACTACAAAAAGACTGGATTGTTTTTATGTTTACTTCTAATATTAAGACACTTTTGGCTTTGTTTCTCATTTAAATTAATTAGACTTTAATAGATTATGTCATGTGTGATGCATTTAATAACATTTTTGTGTAAACATGAAGTATCAAACTGAACTACTTTTGTTTTGAATTTGGTTCCTAAACAACAGAATATCAATGTGTAGTTTATAGAATTGTTCTTATCCTTTGATTTCATATGCTTATATTATAATTATATATTAAATGTATAATGCCTTTTAATGACAGCAAAGCAGACTTGTTGAGAAACCAAATTAAGATATTTTGTAGGAAGAGAAATTAACCAATTATATATGAAACAATTTTGATCTATGAGTAAAATGCATAATTCTCCATATCTCCATATCATTTCTAAAATAAAAATAAGGTAATCCATAGCCAAAATATATTTATTTTAATTCTTGACTAAGAGACTGATTAAAATGAATGGAAGTGGGAGATAATGTTTTATTCTTCCCTGTAAGCAAACCGTTTTGACATTGTTTTAAAAAACCAAGCTGGAATATATTCTGTCATGATATGTTATTACAAATAGTTATAAACTAATAAAATAATACTTTTTAAAGATTTTTGGAAAAAAATGTAAATTTATCAAATATACAAATGGCTAAAATTAATGTTAATAAGAACAAAAAAGCATGGTAAGCTATATTTTAATGCATATATTATCGGGTAATTATTAATCATTATTGCCTCATAACAAATTATCCCAAAACACTGTGAATTAAAACAACACACATTTATTATCTTGAAGGTTCTGTGGGTTAGTAAGTAGCGCAGTTTAATTAGGTGCCTCTAATTCAAGACCTTTCACAAGTCTGTAATGGAGATGCTAACCAGGGCAGCAGTCATTTTCAGACTTGACT